TGTAGTAGAATGCTTCGGAATTCTTGGGCGCGAATGGAGGCTGTTTCGGATTGAGTAGATCAGTGGTTTTCAAACTTTATGTTATTACGTTTCGCATTAAAAAGATCCAATCTTGTCGGCTCTTTTCTCTTTAGTTCATAAAATAATACATTTCAAAATAATACATTTTAAATGTTAAAAATGTATTAATACAAGAAGTGAAAAAAAACGTAAATTATATTTCTGTTAATTTTTCGCGGCTCGGTTATGTATACTTATTAGCTCATACCGCGACTTCGCTCGCATAGTTATTAATATTATTAATAACACGTATTTGAATTGTTGTAAATATTTGACACCCTGTATTCTAGACCCCTTACATAACTTCAACAACGGTAAAACATGTGTTGAATCATTTGTTTTATAGAATATTTATACCAAGCTTCAAGTTAATAGACCAAATCACTTGTTTCCATGCGAACTTTGACACCCTGCTTTAAGTCCTTAAGAGGTGAGTTTCGAAAAATCCTTTCTTAGTAAGTCTGTACGTTATGAAGGAAAGGTATTTTATACAAGGTGTCCCAGAGTAAGTGGAAAATATTTCGGGGGTGGCTTCAGCATATTAAAACAATAAAAAAAGGTCAGATGAACATATGCCCTGTTTATAGATAGATCCGACCTGTGTACGTGGATGCACGAGGCGAAATGAAGCGAAGACAATAAGAAGATTCCATATATGACGTCACAAAATCATTCAAAATGGTGGATTCTGCTTGAAGCATAAAACTTGAAGCGCCAATGTTGGTCATTGGCAACCGACATTTCCAATAAAATTTACTTAGTATTACGAAATTATAATTTCCAGTTATAAATATAAACTTTCCATTAATTGGGAATTACAAATGTGAAATAAAAATGAGAAACTAATTCACAAAATATATTAAAAAATTATTTTTCCGTTAGTTATGTTTATGTATTAGATTATCTGATAGGTTTTACCACAATTTTCCTTAAAACTTCCCTTTTATTTCTTTCCACATGTGACGTCAGATGCATGATTTTATCTTGGCTTCAAGGCAGTTACCTAAATCCGAGTCCAAAAGTGAACGGTTTATGTGCGAGCCAGCATCCATTGCCAAGGGCTAGCGGGGGATTTTGGATAATCGAAGGAAACTATGTACACATATACTATATCTGAGAAAAAGACAGCGATGCCAATAAAGATGTTTGTCAAAATTGAAGAGGACGTCTCGTGATTTACTTCTTCCATGTCTTAGAATGAAACTTTCTTTTCAATGTCTACTTCTTCACTAATGTAAAATGGCACATATAGTAATTCCGGTCGAGATGGCCCGATCTCATTTACATTGTCAAATATCTATATTTACAATTGCTTTTAACGGTATATTTAATCTTGCACAGAGGCTTATTTTACTATTCTTTCTACATGAATCTACTTTCATAAATATATTTCCTTTTTGTTAGGTATTAATGGTACTAACGGCGTAATAGTTCTTTTAAAAAAATGGGCCATCTCTCCCCGACTTACCCTACTTCACGTCGAATTGGTGAGTTGGCTCAGGCTAACGGGTACTACAGAAAGTAAAGTAACAAAACAGGAAAAAAAAGAGGAGGATATTCCGTAAGAGTCAGTGAGCGAGTGAATACCATGAGACAATGAATCAAATTCAGCGAGTCTTCTTGTCATAATTATCATTTTTATTCCTTTTTGTTTCATAAACTGTTATTGTTTAAACCTTGCGAGTCTGCTACCCTTTACCACGACACCACCTGGGATTCACCCTTTAAAATAATCCCTACAAGGGAAAATCGAATGGACTCACCGTTGCCGTTACCATTAAGGTTAACATTGCCGTTGCTGTTGCCGATGGTGGTGAGTCGCGGTGGCGAAGTGTCGGCGAGCCCTTGGCCGCAATCGAGAGACCTGATGCTCGCCAGACCCCGCGGGGTCACGCCAAGAAGCGCTTCCGCGGTCGCACGAACGTCACCCCCGAAAGAACCGTCGGGTCTCTGCTGACTGGTTAACCATGCCAGAACAGCGGATCTGTTCCAATTGTCCGCTGACTCGTTCTCCGCTTCCTCTAGAACCTGCATCACCAAAGCCGTGGTCCGCAGATCTCCAAAACTGCCGTCCAACCTTTGCTGCTGCGCCAAGCCGACCGACGGTTTGCGCATAAAGTGATGTAGATTCCGGTGTCTGTGATCCTGGACGATGCACTTCAACGCCAAGATAACCATTGCCACGGTATCTGAAAAACGAGGTCGTGTAGAAGCGAACCACTTCTATTTTGTACCTGAAGTGCCAGCAACTCGATAGCTGACTTTATATTCTCTGTTTTCTATTCCCTATTCTCTATTCTGTATCGCACGTTTTATATCCTATATTCTATATTCTGTTTTCGATATTCTACACTGTATACTCTATAGCCTGTACTCTACAATCTACATTCTACATCGAATATTCTACATTCTATTTTTTATACCTTATACTATATACTCTGTGTAGCCTGCATTCCGTATTCTATGTTCTATATCTTATATTGTATATGCTATTTTCTATACTGTATACTCTGTAGCTGTTACCCTATACTCTATGTTCTATATTCTATAGCGCTAATTGCCAACATACGACGCTAACCGACGTTATGATCCTGGGCGGCGGTGGCGATGTCCAGCAACCGGCGTATCTGCCTCTTTCGCACGTGAGCTTGCGCGTTACACGCCGCCAAAGTTGTGAGGGCGAACTCGTAGTCGGTCGGCGGTTCATGGTGTTGAAGCGTCCCAATCAGATCGTGACCATGGAACTGCCTCGGGTCCGTACACATCGCGTTCAACGCGAGCGTGTAACGTGCCAGTTGTACCGGTGAAAAGCTAATTTCCCTGTGCCTGAAAAGTTCACGAAACCAGCCATCGTTTTCTCAGGTCCGGCAAGTCCGCAGGATCGAAATCGTTACCTCCAAAGCAGCAGCACTATCTCCAGCTCCATTTGTTTGCTGCTCAGCTGTAACTCGAGCGGCACCGGAGGCGCTACGTTATCCTCCCGCGAAAGGTTGCCCAATCGAACCACCAACAGAACTCGGTGAGTGTCGTTTCCCCAACCTGCATCCTTGTCGCGCTGGCTCCACAGCCACGCAGTGCCGCGCTCCAGAATATTTTCCGCCTCGGTGTCGCTTGAACCAACATCCGGGATGCTTCCTATCGATTGCTACCCATTAGTTCCACGTTCAGTTAATAAAACGAAGGACAACGATAGAAACATCAGAGACAACTGTCTCGGAATCGCGTGCACGGGATCGTGGATACCTTCGCAACGAACCAAGTCCAGGATGCAGGCCGAGAAGAGAACCATCACGGCTGCCATGCCAGCTCTTCCCCACATTTTTACCCAACTTTGGACGATACACATAGACTGGTCGATGCTTCCTGGAAACAGACGGAACTAGATCCCTGTGGTTTACTCGATGCCTTTGCATCGCCGCCTCGCGACCACCACTGCGCGCTTGCTTACTTCTCCGCTCGAAGCTAGCGAGCTTCCCCCTGTCGCGAACCTTCCGGCCGAGCGATTACGTCGGAAACGAACACGATTGGCACGATTGTCGCGAGATCACCGGTAAATACTACACGAGGATGCCTCACTTGCGTCGGTATCGCCTGCGGAAACACTACTGGGAATAACACGATATTGCGTGGGGGATCGATATCGCGGCACCCGTCGTCCTCCGAGGCAACGCACGGTATATACACCCATACTTGCTCCCCGACTACACGTATAGGTAGATATGTGTACCTGCGCTCTCCTTTTCCACGCTACTGCCCAGTTTCCCTCTCTTTCTTTCTACTTCTGCATCCATCACCCACGCCCCGCTAGATTTCCGGTAGCGGCAGCAGCAAAGCCACAGCTACAACTACTTCACCCTCGCTGCGCAACGTCTTCCAATCCAACCAACCCCATCCCATCCCGCTGCGGCCTGTTCTATCGTCGCATGCACTACTTATATTGTTGTATAAGTTTGGCGTGTCCTCGATCCGCGTTTCCGCTGTAGGTCTACAAGCAACGGTGAACGAATTCGACGATCGACGTTTTCACGATTTTATTCGTTCACATACGAAACATGGAAACCTAGCGAAAGATGAAAACAAGTGCAACGACGGCGATAAGAGCGGCTATAACGTCGCGACGGTAAACTCGTAAAGTAAACCAGGAACGGCTAGAAAAATCAATGTACCCGACGTCGGTGCCGCAACAGTCTCGGTAATGTTTAGTGGCACTGGAACGATGCTCGGTTTTATAGAACGTACGGACACACACGCGCGCATCTCTCTTTTCGATTCTTATGTAATACACCTGTGCGTGTGGAGTTGCACGGCGTATTACCGTGTACGCGTATCCACTTACCTTACCGTTCACTGGGTTCCGATAAAGGTCGTTGCGTTCGTTTCGTTGCGCACGATTTGCAAGCACAACGCGCGTGAACAATCGTTAACACGCAGGGAAATCGGGGCGAACGCGTCGAGCCGAGTCCATGGCCGACGAAATTGACGCGAGACCCGAGAGACCGATGCGACGAGCGTGTAAGGGATGCGAAGGGCTTCGAGGTCGCCCTCTTTCTCCCGTTAAACACTGTGACTCGGCGCATCCCCTCTACGATCCTTCTTTGCAAATCGAACGAATCCCTTCCCCGCGACAACGAGAACTCTTCTGTGTCTAGTCTTGCGGCTCGGTTGGTACGGACACGCGATTAGGACAGGGTACAATAAAATTCTTGAAATGCACATTTTTCGGAGCGAAGAAATGGCGAGATTTCCGGAAACCTAATAAATCTAATAGGTCTGAAATTTTGCGAACAGCTCCATTTTGCATGAAAATAATGTTTGCGAAGGTCACCCCCTGTAATTCCTGAAACTTCTGTAATCGAGCACCCTTTTGCTATTCCTTTCGGCGTTGTCCAGTAATTTCGTTATTGAAATCTTAATATGTTGAATAAGAGAAATATTTTAGAGAAATTCTATTTTATTTGCTTTAAAATGGAAATGCGTTTGAAAATATTGAGATTGAACGACAAGACAGCAATTAGCATAATAACATTAGTAGTAAATGTTAAAATTGTCGAAATGTAAGTCTGTGAGTTCGAAAATAATCAAGCGTCTTTTTTCTTTTCGTTCATTAAATTAATTAAATATATTTAAATTTAAATTATAAGATACATGCTCTCGTTATATTCTGACGCCAAGTAATCCAAATTAAAAATAGCTATATATCCGAGTATAACAAATTTAATTTACAATGGCATGATGACAACATATTGTGACAAAATATGTGTATGTAAACAAATGTCTGACGAAAAATTGTTTTAATAGGATCAGATTTGAATTTAATATAATTACGTAGTAACAAAATTTTATATATTCGTTAATAATGTACTGGTTATGTTGCATTAAAACTATAATAATGTAATCTTTAATTTGAATAAGTTTCAATTCATTGGCGTAATCTACTGCTTAGCGGCTGACAGTCCATAATACCACCCATGATATCTGGCATATATTACGTGACATGTACGTGAAAATAATTGAAACTCGGAAAGAGAATTCTTTACATTTGCTGATTTTACCAACTTCAATCGTCGACTCGAATATAATTCTTATACTCACCGCTCTAAATCGTAGAGGGTATATCAGAACGTCTGTTTTGTTACACGATCGGTATTTCAGATCTTCGGATTACACTATCATAAATTTGTGAAATGTCGGTAACGTCGAGCACGACACCGAGATGATATAGAAGTCCTAAGGACCCTTGAGAGGCCTTGATAAAAACATCTATATATACAACATCTGTACGGATTCTAAGTTTGTGCTCACATATCCAAATTAGTGAATTATTGGTAACATCAAGCAAAACGTAACTATATTATATACGTGAGTTTTTAAGGTACTCAAAAACTGAAGAAAATTTCATTGCATGCGATATTTGTATATGTATACATATTCAAAGTTTGTGAAATACGTATCTAATTTCGCAGGTTCTCTTTTTATAAATAACTTTTCGAAACATTATAAATTCCATTGATATATAATTGTCAACGTATAATTCGACGAAATAATGGATTTGCTGGAATCTATCATGAATTCTATGGATAAACCGCCTACAGCCAGTGATAAACAAAAAGCATTGATGAAAAGTCAGTTACAAGTTAACCTATATTGTCAATCTTTGTAAAATTATTTTCTATTGACAAAATAATTTCTGTTGAACAGAACAGAAAGAAGAATATCAGAAGCGGCAAAATGCAGAAGTGGTAAAGTTAAAAATTTTTCGAGACAAGGTTTGAATGTTTAAATTTTTATATATTGTGTTTATTTTAAAAATATATCAAATATGCATTATTGTTCTTGTTTCTATTTTACTAGGTGGAAACAAAAATTAATAAGTTTCTTCAAGATGATGATATTAAAGAATACAAGTTCCCACCTATGCATCAAATTTATAGAAGTATAATGTACATAGAAAAAATGGCAATTCAATTCAAATTATAAATGAAATAAGTAATATTGTTTTTATATTGCAGACACGATGTTGCTGAAGTAGCAAATGTATGGGCATATTCTTTTGGCGAAGAGGATATCGATCGACATATAATGATTTTCAAAAGAGAACACGCTCCATCTGAAGATCAATTAAATGCATTACGAAGAGGAGAGGAATGGAATGAGGAAGTAGCTAAAAGAATTACAGAAGAAAAAGAAAGACGAGCCAAAGAAGAAATAGAAGCTGCGAAAACTAAGAAACGAAAAGACAACTTTGTACCAAATAGTTTTTATAAGGATAAGTATCAACATTTAATTGGGAAAGAAGCTGCTTTGGAAGCAGCTAAGAAAACAGAAGCTAATAGTAGTTATGGCTGTGGTAAGTAAATGCTGTTTTTATCGATGGTTTAAACACTTGTAGTTAATTATAAATTTGATTTCAGTTCCAAGCGAAAATAAGAAAGATCAACGAAGCATAGAGCAGACATTAGCAGATATTCGTGCAAAGAAAAGAAAATTAGAAGAAAGTGGTAACACGGTCACAACAAATTTAGAAAATAAAGACAAAAAATAAAATAGTTCAACATTATAATACTTAATGTATATCAATATACCTGTTTAAAAATTTTAAATTCTATATGTTAAGCATGAGATAACTCAGTATGATGCAATGTGCGTTTACATTTAGCTGTTCATTCAGTCATTTTGACATATGTAACACAGATTTCATTCATTTAATGTTAGTATTATTCATGTACCTGTGATAGGTTTCAAAAATAAGTTGTTTTTCAATTTAATGTATGTATTTACTTAAAGATAAAACAAATTAATTTATATATTGACTATAATACATTCATTACGTACTGCAAATTAATGAAACATTCTATATTTTTCTTAAAATTACAGTTTCTCTTACACTCCATTATGTACAATAGTGCAATATTTATATATATATATCAACGCAGTTAAATATATTCCGTGGTCAAATATTTCGCTACTGATGTCCTAGGCGCAGGTTTGGGTTTTGTCACAGATAAAGAGTCAAATACGATTTGCTCTTTTAAGGCCAACAGTTTTTTGAAGATTTGATTGGTTGTCGATTTATACAGCTCTAGTCCTCTCGCGATTATAACGTCCCGAATGTAGGTTGCGTTATCATGGACCAACTGCTTCTAAAGTTACCATGAACGGAATAAAAAATTAATTATTTAGAAAATATAATACATTTTAAAGGAACCTGAACAGGTCGGAAATTATGACAACTGAGCATGATGTGATTAGAAGAAAGAACAATTCGTTACCTCTTGCTTTAATTTCGGATTCGTAAGTGACACAATAACATGTTGCACTTGAACTCGCATCACTGTCACTAAAACTCCGTCTATTGTAGCCATGAGTTCTGGTGTAGCAACGTTTAAACAATCTTCTAAGAGACTGACGTAAATTTTTGAGAAAGCTAACGTATTCTTGGTTAATGAGATCCAATACTCATTTGTTACGTAAGAAGATGGTACTGTTATTCCAAGATCGTCCATCTCAGATAGTAATTTCTGAACGTTTTTGCTTGTTTCTAAATTAGTCGGCCGCCAAGTATCTTCAGCTATGTGCTTTTTGACTATATTAACATATTTTTCACCAGAATCTTGTATAGCTTTGGTCAACGGAGATCTCAGTTGACCGTCCAGTTGATAACGAAAATCCATTCCAAGATGCGTTAACTGAAAATTAAAATACACAATTATTAGTTTATTTATATTTATATATCATACTCATATATCAAGTTTCTTTTTACCGAATATCTTATTCAAATGATTAAATAAAAAAAACATTGCGAAGATTGTACCTGGTCACAATGACATCGAACGGCAACAATACACTCTACCAACGTACTTAAAGATACTTGGGGAACAAAAAGTTGTTTAATTAAATGCGTCGTTAGATGTTTAACTTCTTGACTGCACCACACTACTAAACCTAAAACCGAAAAAAAAAATAGTTAATGCGAAAAGAACATTTTAAACGTTAATTTCAATTACACTATATTTTAATTACCGGATGTACAATTTGCAGATTGTGAAAAAAGTTTTTGAAATTCTTTAGCAATTTCTACGATGTTGCTAAACGCGATTGCACTAAGTTGCTTCGTGTAAGCTGTAATGGTTCCTTCTTTCTTAACTCTTTTTAAACGTGCTTTTAGCATAGCAGTACACAGTCTTAAATATAATTGACAGGCTTGAGCACTTCTGTTAAGTTGTATTAATAGCTTTACTATACGCCGTGCACTTCTTAAACCACCGCCTTGAAGTGATTTTGCTTCCGCACTTACTTCAAGTTCCTTCGTTAAAACATCGACCAGAGATCGTCCTCTGTCGTTTACTTTTGACTGTATTTCAAGTAAAATTGGCGTGGTTTGACTATCTTTTAAATACGTTTTCGCCTTCTCTAAAAGGCTATAAGCTTCTTCAAAGTGACGTTGAGCTATACAAGAATCCAAGTCTTCTGCAACTTCTAACATCCATTCAGGTGGTGGTTCAAACAATTCTGAATCTATATCATCTATACCTAGAAGAAAATGACTGAAAAATGTAATTTATCTTAATTTCACTCAATATTGTGATATTACAATTATCAAACGTACCTAGGGTATTGGAATCAAGAGACATCGAACGAGAAGGTGCTATTTTTTCCTCTTTAGACCTTGTATCGGTCTGTTGAGTATCCCCATTTGGATTGTCTTCAGCTAATTTCATTTTTTTTGCTTGCTCACATTTATCCAGCCACTCTTTCTGTAACAAGTATTGCTATTTGTGTTATGTTCTTTGCAAGTTTATAAACAATGCATTTTAAGATACTAACTTTACTTGTTGCAGTTGCGCATTGAAATACTCTGGTATCGGAAAATGCTAAAAGCTTGAATGCTAATTTCACTGTTCCTAGATCTCTTACATTAACAACTGCTAGACTTTCAAGATTATAAACTGCTTGCATTTTATATCTAGGTGGTCCTCGTCTATTTCCATTTGCCAACCAAGAAGAGATCATTAATATGTCATTAAATAAATATGCATGAACCCTTTTCAATGGTGTTCCCTCTAATGGATCCAGCTCTAGTAATGAACCTTCATGTAAGCACGTACGACCTGGTGTTTCAGCTAAACTCTATAAAGCAAATCTGAAACTAATTATTATTTCTTGTTTTTAATCAGAGATATTGAAGTTTTATTAACTCACCATAGCACCTTCTACATTTTCAAGTAGTTGTATCAGCTTTTGCTTTTGTTCCTCTTCTTTGGAGGTAAATTCATTAGTACCTTCTTCTCTAGATTCCGATAGATCTTCAAAAATAACACCCGTAGTTCTAGTGGATCCTAATGTGCTCAATAAGGAACGTTGTTCACTTAATAATTGTGACAACTGATACATTTCACTTTCTAGATGTGATATTTCCTTAGCGGTTTCTATAAATTGCATATAGTTTTGGTAAACATTACGCTTGAGCTGCGCAGATGTATTATTTGCAAGCTCTTGAATCTTGGCACGTTGTTGCCTCAATTCATCTGCACCAACGCATTGTGCGCTTAATTCTTTAACAACTGAAAAGAAACCAAACTGTCAGTATATTACGTGTTTAGTTAATTTATTTATAACGGGATACTCACATTTCTCTGGACTAAAATCTTCAGTAGCAAACACTTTTGCTAAACTTTCAGCCATCATATAATACATACGTATTTACTATTTACTGTTTTATTCAAATTTCATTTTACAGATTATCAAATGTCATCTTAACTACTACAAAATAACGGGTACAAAATAAGTAAAACACGTCAGTTATAGTACCATCACAGAAAATTTTTTATAGAGGCGTTTTACAAGACTAATTTCTAGGGCGCATGCGTACGAAAATTGCATCCAATGAACACAGTTATAAAATTATTGCCACAGACGATGTGCTATATGGATTGACATTGCAACTTACGGGACCCGCGTCACATATTCTGGATTGCCGACTGCATGAAAAAATTATACTATAGTTATTTTGTGATATTTATTGGTTGTATAACATAATATTTAGTAACTATTTTAACTGTGAATTAATTACATGTTTATTTGCTATGACGGACATTAATGATATGAATTAAATGTTTATGACAACACCAGATTTAGTACTATAAAAAATGACGATTTATTTTATAATATTCTCTGTCGGTAATGAAGATTCTTCTGCCGCTACAATCAGTCGTTTTGTTAGAGGGCAGCTCTACGCTTAGCACTAACTTTATGTAAATTTATGTAAATTTTATGTAAATTCGGTGATTATATAGTTTGAGGTGTTCCCCGTTGATTTCGTTGATTTTTGGATATGTTGTCATATATAAGTGTCACTATTTCTTAGATTCTGAGGTAACCGTAAAAAACTTTTCAGTTGAATCGAAACGATACGTTCCGATTGCGAAATATACTTATATCAATTCTCTTGGAAGGGAGGTCTCTGGCTTATTACAAATAACATTGCCCGATGATATTAATAATGTTCTCGTTTATTTGTAATAAATAAAGTACAAAGAGTAAGCATGGAGTTTATTTTCCGATGTGATACAAAGCTTCGATCCAAATTATCACTATCCAATGATGTGAACTACCATTACTTTGGTTATATTTGATTCTATTCAAACGAATTAACGCAATGTTCGTGTCGCTCCGCTTTCCCAGATATATTTCGATGGTCTTCCCAGTGCGGACGTAGCGAATAGAAATGAATGCATTTTGTATGTAGAAATTAATGTCGGGCAGTTTCCAGATACAATTGATAAAATATTCATTAATCTCCTTTGTGCTATTGTATTCATAGGTCGTTTCGTTATTGTCTTTCTGCTTTTCTCGCGTCAACAGCACTAGAAACGCTCCGTTCAATTTCACGTCAGTGTGATTCTCTATGATTATTGTCTAGCTTTATCCAAGGATCGTATAAAATAAGAGTGATTTGAATCGAGTTATCCAAATACAGCCACTGTACGGTATCCTCTTTCTTGTAGTACAAGTACAGATTTCCGAAAACTGCGATGACGAGTTTGTTCAAACGATTCAAATACGAATTTCTTGATTTATACGGTGACGAGAAATCAATCGATCGGTACAGCTCAGGTGATTCCTTTATATCTCGCATCTGTCTATATATGTTGTCCACAATATACAGGGTGGAAATTATAAAGCGTTACAGTCGAATATCTCCGAAAATATTGATTATACGCAAAAATGTTTCAGACGAAAGTTGTTCAATACCGAGGAGGACATCATGTGGTGGAACTTTTTACTTTTCCTGGTGAACACTGCAAGGTGAGGTGAAGGTCAACTTTCTTTGTTTAAATGGAATGATACGTTTTTTATCCACCATCAAATAGTGCGTTTTAAGACGAATTCAACGACCTATGACTCAAGAATTCAAAGAACCTTGGACAAAACTGTCCAGTGTAGATAAAAAATACAAACATCGACAAAACATCAACAGATACTGGTGGCAGTAGCTTATAAAATGCGAAAACTCGGTAGTATAGTGGTCAGTATCCCATTCGGCCGCTGACTATCATAGAAGACGAACATACCTACGAGTTCTCTAACGGTGTCCCTTAGTGCCTCGCGCAGTGCATACTGCTTGATTTTAAATTCCAAAATCGTTACACACACAAAAAACAATGGTAATTCATACTAAATATACTAAAAAAATATACATCATACTAAAAAAAGGGGATAAAACACCAATCACTGATGTCAGTGCGGATAAAGAAAATCAGTGCGAACAAGCATCCTCAAAAAACAGCCAAAAAAGTGAATTCTTAATGTCCAACAACCAGGCATTACAAAAATTAATACAAGAAGAAAAATACGCGGAATGGAACAGTGCCACGCTTACGCGACAAATAAAACATATCATCTCAACCAACAAACGAATTAAAAGACTACAGTCAACACCTAACACAGCAGCAAAAAGAAAAAAAGAGAAATTACCAAACACGGAAGACATTATGGTAGCCAGAACGACGAAACAAACGAAGGCTTACCAATAAAAGGTAAACAGTAGAACGACATCTACGACACTCTCATACGAAGACCTATTAACCGTTTGAGTCCCACGCGCTGCTTTCGCGCTCTTCAGATTTCATATCGAAAAACCCAGCGCATTTGAACGATACAGACAACTGACGGCGCATTCACAATCTGACGAAACGCGTTCAACTTTTCAGACGCATGTACGTCGCATCGCTACTTTTTTTCTATATAAGTAATCCAAGCAATACATTTTGTATTTCGTTGTTACCTATTATAAATTAACATATATACACAATAGTATTAACATAGATTAAGACAAGCGCTGTCGCGCTGCTTGTCTTTTCTCGACACGGAACAAAAGGAGTGCTGTCGCGCCGCTCGGATCTTTTCGCATCCCATTCAGAAAGCGCTATTGCCCTGTTTTCCTAAAAACCTCTGGTACTTAAACAATTTTAAATCCAACGGTCAGCAATAGGGCCCGAAAATCATCCCCACCACGGCCGAATAATCCGAAACAATACACGAGCGGCTATCGACAGCACGCAAAGGCACCCAGCAGACCATCCACGCAAACAATCCAACATCACACGAGTAAACTCCTGGACAAAACAAAAGACAAAACCCAACAGACAATGGACATCAGCAACACGGAAACCAGACCACTTCCCACCACCCTTCATGTAAGTTCGGCGAAAAACACAATTAATGTATTATCTCAGCACATTAAAAACGATTACGTAAAACGCATAAATGCTAACAAACAAGTATTATTCACGCAATCGATTCTAGAACACAAATCAGCTTGCGAAATATTAAAAAACAATAGTATACAATATTTTACATACACTCCGCGAACAAAAAAAAAATTACAGTTTTATTAAAAGATCTAGAGGGTGACTTCGATACAGACAAAATTCTACAAGAATTAAGAAATAAAAAAGTCGATAGTCCGGAATTTCTATCAGCCAAGAAATTCACAACAAAACGCTCCGTAACTGAAGGGCGCAACTTCCCTATATTTATAGTTCAACTCACCGCGAACAGCGTTTTAAACAATATCAAACAAATAAAAACAATATTACACACCAGTAGTAAGGTGGAAGAGAATAGTTAAAAAAGACCGTGTGCAATGTAAAAAATGCCAAAGAATTGGGCACGTAACGTTCAACTGTAATTGAGAATACCGGTGCGTGAAATGCAATACACCGCACAGCCCAGAAGAGTGCCCCAGGTCAGCAGGTACGGACAAAAATCCGAGCCCATATTGCATTAATTGCAACAGCTTTGGCTAACCTGCCTCTTACAGAGGGTGCCCGAAACTACTAGAAATTAAACAGAATGTCGAACACAAAAAACAGGAAATGAAATTAGTCAGGGAGAAAAAAATAGCCGCTGTTAATAATTACATCAGAAAAGACGTACAATTTAGTACAATACTGACGAAATCGAACAACACACAACAAACAACAGTGACTAACACAAACACACAACACACCTCTCAATACAGACAGAACGAACACTCTCATCAACACCTCACTTTACTAACGGACATAAAAAAGATTATTACAGACACAATTACATCACAACTCGCAGAAATCAAAGAGACAATAGAGTCAGACACAAACGGAATAAACATCATCACCGAAACTCTTGAAATAGACATTTAACATAACAATCTTCGCGCTGCACAACAATCAGACCACTCAACAGCTAAATAGCCTAAAAATCATAGAAATAAACGTAAATTCGATAATAACAAATGAAAGAAGAGCATCACTCGTAGACTTTTTAAACACATATACTCCAGACATAGTCCTATTATGTGAAACGAAACTAAACCCACAATATCACATGAACCTCAAAGACTATTACATAATCAGAAACGACTAAACGCCAAACAGGGTGGGGGAACAGCTGTAGTAATAAAGAAAAAATTAAAGTACAAAACCATCCAGTCAGACCGTATCAAAAATACAACTAGTTTCGAAAGCACGGTAATAGAATTAAAAGTACAGGACAACAACAAACTTTTTGTAATATCCGCGTACGCCACAAGTAACTGCAAAAATGAATTCATGGCAGAATTGAAAAATCTATTTGAATTCCTCGAATTGCAAAATCCCCAACTGTTGAGTACGCGTTTTCTATTTCGAAATTTTAATAGTGAAACCCGTACGTCGCACGCCGACTTAATTTTGTGCGACTGATTGGAAGTGGACTGCATTAATATTTACTTCAGTGGAAATTCTCTTGCTGTTTATTAAGAGAATTCAGTAATACTCGTCAGCGGCGAGTGTCTACAACGACGTCTGTATACTCCGTCTCGTTTGTCTAGCTTGAATCTATTTTGTACATCTGTCGTCTCCATATCTTGCGTGGGTTTTTATAAACCTTTGGGTAGGCGTGTGCAAAATTGGAAGTCTGCCTGATTCGTAGCCTTCCAAGGTAGTGGGCGCGTACAAACAAATTCCTTCGAGTAGGACTAACTTCCCCTCAATCAGTGATCCTAGAAGGGTTGTCGATTGCAGCCCCCGGGTGATCCACGCAAGGGTCCCGAGCGTTCTTGTCACTGACCATAGCGAGTAGTAAAACCAAGGATCGCCTCGACTTCTGGCAAACAGATGTAAGGTTAAAACTGTGGTAAATCTACAAAACTGGCAAAACGTGCCGGAGCAACTGCGACTAAATTAGCGAAGTAACGGTTCCTTGGGCTGTTATTCCTGCTATGGTAAAAACACCCAGGGCTCTAATGTGCCTCGCAGGAGGTTTCGTCAATAGCTCTCTTAAAGCGATTTCGCGACGCGACACCAACACTTGGCGGTGAATTTCATCTATTGGCGGGTGATATAAACGCCAAACGCGAAGCTTGGGGGAACACAATAAATAATAGTAGAGGTACCGCGCTGCTAAACTGGTATAATAACCATCTAATCCCATATAGACTCTCCCTACAGAGAAGCAAAAAACCATCCTACCCGTAAAGCAGAGCGTTCACAGACCTTTGTCTCGCAGACGACCGCATCACCTTCCACAACACCGATTCCAACCTCCTTAACTCCTTTATTTATGACAGCGACCATAGAGCAATCATTATGGAAATATCCATCAGTAATAAAGCTAACTGGGACGAATACCGTACACACTTAGAAAATAAACAACTACAGAACATAGTAGGAAAAAGAAACCTATCCATCACAGAAATCAATGAATTCCTAAACACCATAAGCGTTACTATTTCCTAAACAGTATAAGACAACAACATCTACGATGCAATAGAACAATCAACACCCCACATTTCGGACAACTATAACACAATGGACAAATACACCACTCCACGAATAAGAAAACTACGAGAATACAAAAGCTTCCTCATAACCACCGTAAATAACGCCACTAGATTCCGCAATTATGACACAGCTAACGATTTCCTAATATCCTCGATCAAAAAATTACTAAAAAAAAATCTGATACTTTATAAAGAAATCCTTCCAAGAATCAGTCTGCCAGAATTGGAAAAACAAAATCACATGCATTTCATTACAAAAACCCAAAGACCTATTTCCCTAGATAAACAAACTATACCGTCCCAAAGACAACAACCGCATCGACACACTATCGATTCCAGACACTAACAAATCAATCCTTAAAGACGCAAACCTAAATGTCAACAACCTCACAACAGACAAAGACGAAAACATACTAATCACAGACACGGCAGACAAATTAAACATACTAGGTGCACACTTTCAATTACTACACACTCAAAACAGCAGCATGGGCAAAATTCACCTGACAAACATAATTACACAAAAAATATCAAAATTAAAGGAAGAGATAGCGGAGGACAATAGGAAACAAAATGCAGTATGCACATTCACTGACACAAACACAGCCATAAACCCAAACCCCGAAGTAACGCCACCAAACTATTTCACATTCTTCCAAAAATTAGTAAGATGTCCAAATCTTAGATATTCCAAAAACATGAACAACAAAACATCCTCCTGTTTCGACAAAATACCGAACATAGCACTTAAAATACTCCCACCATTATACATTGGATACTACACAATAGTATTCAATAATTGCCTATGTAATGTCTAGAGCAACACGCTTTATTCGGATCATGTCCGCGTGAAGACTGTCGTCGCAGGACGGCTACAAAAATGCTCTGTGGACAACAAATGAAACACGCGCCGGTTGCGGTCGCATCGGTCCACCATAAATTGTGTACATGTGAATATCCTACAACCCTCCGCACTTAATTTAGCTTATAATCTACAAATTTCTCGCGCTTTCCTAATTCGCGTTGAACGGTGTGGAACAATCGCCGGAAGAGTGGGCGCTGGCTTTTGTGAAGCGTCCGCCTTAACATTAGGAGTGTTCGCATTAATGTCACATACATTATTTGACTGTGGTATCGCAACAGGTTAGTTTACAGATTTCGATTCTTCAACGATCTCTCCTTTTGAGTTACAACGTCGGTTTTACTTTCTACGTTTTCCACGGTATCTTCATCGTAACACTCATCGTAATTTCCCGTATTTTCACATTTTTCTACCCCGAATAGTACATTGGCTGAACGAAGTTGATCAATATGTCTTTTCCATATCCTACTGTCCTCCGTGCGAACTTTATACGATACTGAACTTAATTTTTCGACAAGTTCCGATTTACGCCACCTATCGCAAGCATAATCTTTTGCCATAACCGTCTCTTTATTTATAAAGGTGATTTTCCTATTACCGCGAAAATAGTGCTTTTGATCGATTTGTCTTTGCGTGACTCTTTCCCCCACCATTGATTTCAACAAATTCCACCTGGTTCGGAATTTCCTACTACATTGTAGCTCCGCAGGTGACACTCCGGTAGTGCAATGAGGAGAAGAGCGATAATGAAATAAATACTTCATAAGAGAGTCGCGTCTATCATTTTTGGCCAGAAGTAATTTAAATTTTGTTTTAAACGTTTTCACTGAATTTTCTGCCGCCCCATTGGTTGCGGGGTGATACGGAGCAGTTTTGATATGACGAATTCCGTTCTTTCTCACAAATTCCGAAAATGATTCTGACGTAAATGTAGGACCATTATCGGTCACTAATTTGAAAGTTATTCCCCATGTGCAAAAATATTCTCTGAACATTTTGATTGTCTCTGGTGCCGTAATGTTTGTCATTTCCTTTACATCGACCCATTTTGAAAATGCATCAACAATAATAAGATACGCCCTGCCTTTAATAGGACCTAAAATGTCTGCGTGTATGCGATGATTTGGCCCGTCGGACCAGTCCCAAGTATGTAAAACTGATCGTGGTGGATTATCCGCGTTTTCCAAACACGATTTGCACGTCCTTGACACATTTTCAATATCTTGGTCAATTTTTGGCCACCAAATATATGACCTAGCTAATGCCTTCATTCGGACAATTCCCATGTGTGCGCTATGCAATTCCGCGAGTAACTCTTTTTGCAATGACTCGGGAATTACTATTCTATGTCCCCACATAATACATTCCATACCCCGACAAAAATACGCTCCACCGTTGTACACGTGACGCTGCCATTTGTGGCAATCCCTTTTTCTTCCCGAAAATGAAAGTTAATGGTCTGTGATCTGTTTCAAAAACAAAATGTCTTCCATAAACAAATTGATGGAACGTTTTGACCTCGAAAACCAATCCTAATGCTTCCCGATCTAGCTGCGAATAATTTGTTTCAGCTTTGGTTAAAGTACGCGAAGCGAAATCAACTGGGTGTTCAATATTACCCTCAAGAACATGCGACAAAACTGCACCGATTCCGAATAGTGAAGCGTCCGTTGTGATTTTTAGTGGCAATTTCTCGTCGTAAAACATTAAAATTTCACACGAAGTGAGACTCTTTTTTGGCTCCATGAATGCCCTTTTGCATTCAGGAGTTCATTTCCATTTTTTATCTTTTTGCAGTAATTTATAAAGCAGATGAACAATTGATGAATAATTTCTGATAAATTTACAATAATAATTAATCACTCCCAAAATAGACTTCAATTCAACCACCGAGATTGGTTCTTTAATTATCAAAATCGCCTCAATCCTTTCATTCGATACTTGAATACCCTTTTTACTCAATTCGTACCCCAGAAAATTTACTCTATCCATCGCGAATTTACATTTCGTTTTATTCAATTTCAATCCCGCTTCTTTTAAACGGCGTAAAACTTCTCTTAACCGCTCATCATGCTTTTCTTCTGTATCCCCCGTTATCAGAATATCGTCGAAAAATTCAACCCCTTCGACTCCCAAAAGTAGCTTTTCAATTTCCCTCTGAAACAAATCGGGGGCAGAGGAAATTCCGAAACTTAACCTTTTGTAAATAAATAACCCCTTATGAGTTGAAATCGTGGTAAGAGGTCGAGACTCCTCCTCTAATTCCATTTGCTGATACGCTTGAGACATATCAATTTTCGTTATCGCTGGTCCGGGTTTAATATTTGCAAATAAATCCTGAATTCGCGGAACAGGGTATCTATCGGTTTTTAGGTTAGCATTTAAAGCTTATAATCTCCGCCGGTACTAAGATTCCCTCATTAACTAACCTACCCAACTCGGTTTCGATTTTTTCTCGCATAGCGTACGGCACTGGACGCGGTTTTAGAAAAACTGGTATCGCATTTTCCTTTAAATGTAATTTCAATTTACCTTTTGTGTATTCGCCTAACTCATCTGAAAAGACGTCGTCGAATTCCAATCAAAATATAATCCACACTGCAATTTCCGCTATTTCCTATTTTTATGGTTTTTACACTTTCCCGTTTTCCCTCTTTCAAAATGTTCATAATTGATAACCAGGCTCGGCCAATTATTGGCAAACTTGTGCCAGGCAAGACAAATAATTCTAACTTATATAGACGTTTATTTAAACGATGACAATTTATATATATTTTTTCGTTATCAACACAAACTTCGTTTTTTTTTTAAATATCTTTTCTTTTTTTCGCGTTTATTCAAAACAACGCATACACGCACACTACACGCGTCTACAGTTCGGCCATCCTGACCTGTTAGCCGCCCCGGCTAATCCAAACACAAAAATACCAATCTTAATATTACTTTGATCACGCAAACATATTCATACTCCCTAATCAATTATCTAAGTACTTATCTAAGTTTTCGTTTATTTCAATGCTTATGTCACAATATACGGTTTCATATTATCCGGCGACGGAACGCCATCATAGGGCATTTGGGTTATTTGGAACCCATCAACGTCGCCAATCACATATCGATCACAATCTAAGACCTTCTTTACCTCGTATGGTCCCTTAAACTTAGGTAGAAATTTTTTATTCACGCCCGCTGAGTTGTCAACATTTTTAATCATTACATAGTCTCCAACGTTGTATACAAACGCGTCCTTATCCTTACTGTTATAATAATTCTCATTGACCGCTTATGTTTTTTCAATAGTTTTTGCTGCCCTTTCGCGTATACCCTCTAAGTCTCTAACCTCGTCTGAGGTTGGCTGTAATAAAAGTCGCAGGTAGTCGTTCGGCTTTCCCGCCTGTTCAACGCCAAATAATAGTCGGCTAGGAATATCCTTTGCCGCCCGACACACGGTATTATTCAAGGCAAACTCAACCTGATCAAGCACACGGTCCCATTTATCCGATGCTTCGCATAATTTCGCGAGCATCGGAGTTATTACGCGATTAAATCGTTCGATCTGCCCGTTTGCCCGAGGGGTGCCGACTGCAATCAAGATATGGCCAATGTTATCGATCTCTAGAAATTCTTTGAAAACACTTGACGTGAACGCGGTTCCCCGATCTGTAATTATTCGTTTCGATTTACTGTAAGTTCGAAAATATTCCTTTAAAAATTTAATCACCTCTTGGGCACCGGTTGACTTACATGGATATAATTTGAGAAATTTAGTGAACCCGTCAACTATGGCAAGTACATACTTGTAACCCCTCCCTGTTTTCTCCAGTGGCCCAAGATGGTCCAGATGAATGGTGTGGAACGGCACTTTTTCCTTAGGGATGCTATGCAAACGACCTGTCTGTTTATCATCCGATGGTGAGAATTCAATGCATCGCAGACAATTAGAAATATATTCCTTAACCTTTTGTCGCAGATTCGGAAACCAATACAATTTTACGAGATTAATAGCAACTTTATCTTGCTCTACATGCCCGAGATCGTCATGACATGTGCGGATAACGTTATCCTCCATCGATCGCGGTACATAGAATAACAGTTTCTTTGTTTTATCCTTCCGGTACACGAATCCGTCACGAAGCTCAAATTGCCTTAATTCTCCTTTTTCTAATTTGTTCCGAATCTTTCCTATCTCGAAATCTTTATTTTGACACACCGACAGTGTTCGTTCGAAGGTATTGCCCTCAATTACTAACACGCCATGACAACGGCTGAGTGCGTCCACATGGCCCAACCTTTCCCTGCTCTATGTTGAATTTCGTAATCGAAATCTTGGAGATACAAAGCCCAACGCGAAATTCTTGGGTTCACATTCTGCTTGCTTAGTGTCAGCCGGAAGCTATCACAATCGGTAATAACTCGGAAACGTATCCCGCTCAGATAAACTTTGAATCGTTTCAGCGCGTTCACAACCGCCAAACACTCCAGCTCGAAACTATGGTACTTTGCTTCCGTCGGTGTTGTTCATTGACTAAAATACGCAGTCGGTTTAAAGTGTCCATCTACCTGCTTTTGAAGCAATATCGCGCCAAATCCCGATGCACTCGCGTCACAATGAAGTTCTGTCTCGGCAGTCGGGGAATAAATAGAAAGGACTGGCTTGCTCGCCAACTCCTTTCTCAGGGACTCGAAGGCTTCGTTTTCTTTTTCTCCGAATACGAACTTAGCTCCTTGCTTAACTAAATTGTATAAAGGTTTCGCAGTAATTGAAAATCCTGGTATAAAGCGCCGGAAGTAGCTAACGAGGGATACAAAACGGTGTACATTTTTTGCGTTGCGCGGTATCGGATAATTGATAACAGATTCAATATTGTCGTCGTTTGGTCGAATCCCTTGAACACTCACACGATATCCCAAATAGTCAACTTCCGATTGTGCGAAAACACATTTATTCAATTTAAAAACTAATCGGTTTTCCCCTGCGGTTCGGAAGACTTCCCGTAAAATCTGTAAATGTTCGTCAAGAGCTTCGGTGGCAATTAAAAAGTCATCGAAATAAGCTAGCAGTTTCTCAGCCCTGATTAGATTAGAATATAACTGTTTAATAAATCGAGCAGAAACTTTTGGCGCGTTTGTCAATCCAAAGGGACAATACAAAAATTCATATTGCCCGAGAGGTGTTACAAAAGACGTGAATTTAATTGACTCTTCCGCCATTTGAACGTTATAGTAGCCGTCTTTTAAATCAAGTGTTGTATAATAGCATTTATCCTTCAACCGGTCAATATTATCGTCAATCAATTGGCTGGGAAAATGATCTTTAACGGTGATTTTATTAAGTTCGCGGTAATCTATGCAAAGTCGGGTTTCTCCGTTCTTCTTCCGAACTAACACAATTGAACTACTATATGGAGATTCACTCGGACGGATTATTTTTCGTTCCAACAAGTCGTCTAAAACAGTTTGTAATTTTCCTTTATCCGCGTAAGTGAGTCGTCGCGGTCTACAACTAATCGGCTGTTTATGCTTTAATATAATTTTCATTTCAAAATCAACGCGTTCCGTACTCGAATTCATCGTTTTTCTGTAATCTAATTCGTATGATTTCTTAATATCTTCAATAATCTCGGGGTCAATGTCGGGATTAATTTGCAACTTCTCTGATGTGGAAATCGGTTGATTAACGCAATCTATATTCATAATTTGTGTCGTAGTTGCAACTATATCTTCCAACGAATTATTTCTCCGGGATACCACAAATCCGTCCTCGAAAGACAATTTCACCGACGGGTTCGAGGAATAGTCCCGACCAAGTACCGCCATAAACGACATTGTATTTCCTGGCACTACGAAAAATGTTAATTCAATAGGAATTCCCTCAACCTTGGCTTCGCAATTAAAAAGGCTTACAAGTTCCATCCGTGAGCCGTTGATTCCCGCAAATTCATGAATATTATTCGGCAACGGAGTTTATGCTTCTACCGGAACAAAACTATCCTTAATGAAACTAATTGGCGATCCCGAATCTAACATTGCGCTCAATACGTACTTACAATGCTGACTATTCTTATCGATTATGTTATAACTTAGCTGAAGTAGGTACGACGCTGGAAGGGTCGGTTGAACCATGTTCGTTGACGTGGTCACATTAGGTTCCCTCCGCGTGCTGCTTCCTTCTCGCGGGTTCGGCACCCGTCGCGGACAATCTCCAAGTCGATGAGCCGTCGATCCGCAACCGAAACAGGATCCATACTCCCGTGTTTTTGGCTTTGAACACCTCGTGGAGACATGTCCTGGTTCCCCGGAGTTGTAACAACGCATCGGTTTCTTCTGTGCTTCCGACATCTCTTTCGATTGATTGTTCCACTTAGTGACC